GAAAGCTACTTGCATTTGGCTGTGCCTTGGGCAGAACAGCAGATTTATGATGAGCGTTGTCCCGTGTATTAATAATACCATCGGGGCTGCGACTGTCAGGCATCAGCAGGATTGTGCTGCATTTCTGCCATGGAAAAACACTCCTTGGGCGCATCTACATGTGCGTGAATACGACATTTTTAATGCACATTACATTTAGTACCTCCAATGCGAGGTACTCAATTAATGCACATTAGTAAAATGTGAAATATGAACTTTCATTTCTACCCAAGAGAACGTGTACAATCTTTTCTCCGATGCCTGAAGAAGGGTGCTTGTGCCCGAAAGCTTGCAATTAAAGAATTTTTTTTTGCAAAAATCTAGTTGGTCTAATAAAAGATACCACCTCTACCATGAGTTCTGACTCCTTTTGCCCATTAGTAGCGCATTTGCATGCTTTTTCAGTGACGCTTAATGTGCATTCAACTATTTTACTGCACGTTAGTGTAATGTCATGGTTTTTTTACGTGACACTTTAATGTGCAGTAAAACAGTCGACTGTGCATTAAAGCACATGTATAGATGTGCCCTCTGTGTCTTAAAAAATTAAGTTTCTTCCATGTGCCTGTAGTTAAAATATTCCAGACACTCCGGTACTGTTAGAGGGGCTGGGGAAAATTCCTGCGTGCAAAAGAAAATCCTAAAGGATGCACATTTACTCTGTTGCATTACTTCTCGGGAGTTTAACAGTTATCCTACTGTGTCCTGACATTAGGCAAGCTACAAATACTTTCAGTATATCGGGTACCAGGCGCTGCCAGCTGTCTCCCATACCACTGAGAGTAAGTCGGCTGTGGAGCCTTGAATACTTTCCACCTTGACTACCTTAGCTCAGCTCCATCCAGTGGAGCTGGCAGGAGGATTGTTTTTGTATCGTGTCTCACCTCTCCTGGCAGCAGAGCTGACGCGGTGTCTAGATAAGCACGGTATGCAAAGCTCAAGAATCCAAGATTGAAAAGAAGATAAAATCCACAGATCCTCTTATTGCTATGCCAGGGTGCAAGTATAGGGATGCTTGCTGCAGATTTGCTAGAGCTGAACCTAAAGAACCAGATCACCAACTGGTACAGATCAGCGTAGCTCCTTTGAAGTCGACGCTTTGATATCAGTGCGGCTGGGGTCGCCGCAGCAATAAGCTCAGGTTTAAGTCTTTTTTAGAAAAGAGTCTGGATGGAGTCGATGGAGCTGCATTGACACCAGCTGAGGATTGGGCTTATGCCTTGAAGCTGTAGCTTTCTACCAGGGGATGTTGCTTCCCTGCCCAACAGAGCAACTGCTGTGGATAGTGGGGGCCAGTTACAGTGGGGTGATTTTTATTACAACAAACTCATGTTTTACAAGCTCCAGTTTAGCGGGCAATCTGGCAAAGACTCCGACGCCCAATGTGAGTGGGAAGAAAACTTGCAAAAACTGCAAAGCGTACACAGCCTGGCTTCTTACTGTTTTGAATCTGATTTTGGTTGCAAAAGTGGAAACGCCCTATCAGTACAAACCAGGTGATGAGTCCCATTAAAGGACTGTCACGCGGTGTAGTAATGGAGGCGCTGCTAATTGCATTCCTTACGGCTTCTGTAACTTTAGGGAAACCAGGCAAGGCCCTCGGCCTGCCGTATCGGAGGCAACACACAGAAATAGCCTGGTGGGTTTTCCTTCGGTCCAGCCAGGCTCTGAAAGATTCCCTCTGTAACTTTTGGGGTCCATAACAAATATGAAAGCCAGTGGAGTTAATCAGTCGATGTAGGTGTTCTGGGCCCTCCGAGATCACTTCATCTTTCCATCAAAGATGAAACAAGCTTCTCAAATGAATAAAAAATAGGTCTGCAAATGATGACAAGGGAGAGCGATTTGGGCTCCGTCCTCAGAAGGTGCGTGCCTCTGTCTGTCTCCCTGGCCTATATTCATCCAGCTCTTGCTGTTACCCTCTTAGGTAAATATTTCCATCCTGATTCCCACTCGGTGTGTGCAGACCTTCAGGAAAGGTGCAGCTGCTGCTCCAGGTGTTGGGGACGGTGGCAGGTCTGGTTTCTGCCAGGCTCTGTCGAGTCTGATTTGCGTTGCAAGTCTAGTTTTCTGTGGTGCTTCCTATAATCTCCCCGAGTTCAAAGAGCGCTTAGCTGCTTGTCTTTGTCAAAAACCCTGTTGGAGATCTTTTATGTTGAAGATGTAGGATTTCTCCGAATGACTTTGATTATTTATTCATTCCACTTCTCTGGTGTATGATAGCGCTGATATCATGAAGACCTCTTGTCTTGCACGGCTCTTGCTCTGAAATTCATGGAGATTTAGTGCCTTTGAAATTGTTTTAAAAGGGAATGAAAAGTTTTTGAAGTCCTTTTTCTTCTTCTCTTTCCCTCCACAGTGCCACAGCACATTTTTCCGCCCTTCCATGCTCCTTTGCCAATTGACATGCGCCACCAGGAAGGAAGATACCATTATGAACCTCACTCCATCCATGCTATTCACGGGTAAGTCTTCCATATGACGATAGCATTTACCTGTCCTCCAGGTGTATCGTACGGCTTGATTAAAGCATGCAAAGGGCCGGAAGATCCTGCGATGTCAGGTGTAGTATTAATGTACCAGTCAGCTGAGGTTATAGGAGCAGGAATGGTCCCAGCTTTGTTTTTGTGGTGCTCTGGGCCGTTCCTGACTCCTCCGTGGCTTAAATGTCTATTTTGGTCCCTCAGTTTCAGAGGTCTGGGGTTCCTCTCTGTCCCTACATCCACGTTAAAAGTAAATGAAAGTTTCTTTGCCCACTCTATTCAATTTGGTTTTGTGGGACTGCCGGCATGGGATGCTATAAAAGTAGTGTCAAAGTACAATGAAGAGACAGACTTTCAAGTAACCCTCAGAGGTAGAGTGATATCCAGGTTGTAGCCGTATTGGTCTAGAGACAAAAGGAATCAGGACTCGTGGTAGAGGTGATCTCTTTTGTTAGACCAACCTGATTTTTGCAAAAAAAAAAAAAAGGATATCACCTCTACCGCGAGCCCTGATTCCTTCCAGGTAGAGACGGCCGTGATCCCCGCGGGAGATGGCTAAGCTGTGTTTCAGGTTCAGCGTTGTACAGGCCTTGCTAAAGGCCTGAGCTGTGCGTTTCCCCTCTAAGTCATGCCCAGAGCAGGGCAGGGAGCTGTCATCCCTCCCGCCTGGGTCAGAGAAGGAGAAAGGTCTAGCAGTGCTGGGTTAATTGCCCAGGATGTGGTTCCCTGCTCTGCAATAGATTATCCTCGTGACACTTTGCTTCCCTCTGCCTCGCTAGGTTGTTCATAACTTGTGATAATAGCAAGCCCCAGCTTTGCAGCAGTGTTGTTAGATGAAACACGTTGAAGACTGAGAGGCCCCGATACCGGAGCAATTTAAGTATGTAAGAGAGAGAGCGCCATATCTGGAAGCTGTTGGACAGACTTTGCCATGCTCGGTGCTTTCCAGTTGCACTTAAAGCAGGGAGAGCTGTGGAGTGACGGAGCCTGGGATTTCTAATATCTTAATAACTTGCCTTTCATTATTTCATGGAGTGTTTTATTTTATTAGTAGCCCTGGCATGCATTTGGTTTCCAACTTTTGTGCTTCCTACTTTAATTTCTTTAGTTACGGAGCGATAGTGAGGCCACCAGCTTTCTCTAAGTGTGGTCATGGCTTGGAAAAGTCCTGGCTTGTGAGTTTATAGTTTCCTTTAAGGAAGGGTTTTGCAGATAAGAGTTTTTTCTCTTGGTTCCTGGTATGCAATGTTTCCAGTCCCACGCCACCTGGGGAAGGAGGAGCTGCTGCAAGATTGGGAACAAGAGTTGTCGCGGTGCTACTGCAGCTGTGGACCTGCGGACAGATGGCCGAGCGGGGCATGGGGAAGGGGATGGTATTGAATTGCTGCACTGCTGTGTATGTGCCAGTCGAGTGCCTGGGATAAAACAGGCCTCCTTTGTTGCTCCATGTCCGTAGTGGATCCCTGTGGAAATTTCAGCAGGTGATATTTGGTGAGAATGGTTTTTCCTCCTGTGAAAAATTTGGCATTTCAGCATAAACCTGAACTACTATTTTTTTTTTTCCAGAAATGTTGCCTCGCAGGAATTGTAGCTCAGTGTCTTTAGCTGCCCATGTTCCTCTCCAAGCCTTGCCTTGCTCCAGGCTTAGACTCTCTTCTCCATGATGACCGCAGAGTCCCTTTTTCGTAAGAGGAAGCAGTGCATCCTGGCAGTCACTGGCGGGTCGGTCCAACTGTATAGACTTGTGCCTCAGGATTTTAATATTGAAAAGCAGGCTTTGAAATAAATAGGCTCTGAGAACTTGCCCACAAAAGAATTAGTTTTAGGGTGCCAGCTTCTTTCTATATGGTACTTTTTTTTGTGGGAAGAGCAAGGATGGGCAGCGTGAAAAGGTACTTTGCCACGAACCCTGGTGCCTTCCAACTTTATTTTTCCTTTCTCTGTATTGTTTCTAAAGCCTGGGTCTGTTTTGCCTCTGACAATATGCTTTGGAGGGCTGTTTGAAGGTACCCGTCCCGGGGAAAGCAGTCAGTGGGGTGCAGTGAAGTTTCGTGAGCCGGCTGAGTTGCACAGTACAGGGCTTGGTTCAGGTCCTGCGTGATCATCTTATCCCAGAGATGTGGCAGGGTGACAAAATGTCCCTTGATATCCTACCAGAAGACCTTCTGGCATGGCACTCAGCTTTGGGAGATGTTCAAAGAGACAGGGAAACTTTTCGCCCTGGCACATGTGGTCAACCAAGGCATCCTACTGGGGGTCGCTAGACTACATTCTCAAAAGGCTTTGCAGAAAAGGGCCCTGAGCTTTGCTTAAAACAACTAATTTGGGAACAAAAGAGCAGCTGACGCTTGTTAAGCAATGGCTGAGGTTGGCAAAGGAAATACTGAGAGGCAGTGATTTAAGGGTCTGTTTGGTACCATGGCCAAAAGGCCCATGTTTGGACTCCAGATTTCCCATCCAGTCCAAATGCTGCGCTCCCTCCCGCACCAGCAGCCCTTACCCCCCGCGTACCACCACACCATTATCTTCCGGAGGGCTTCTCCCCATGCCATCTGTCAATATTAGGCTGTGGCCAGCTTATCCATTTCTCTTTCTGCATCGTCGGTGGATGTCTAGTTGTCCAGCATAGGGAACAGCTACAGTGTTAATCCCCTCTTAAGTCCAAGTTTCTTCACTGGCTGGGCACACCTGAAAAGTAATTCCAAACTTAGCAGCTGATTTGTGATCTTTCACCACAGTTCATTGTAGGCTAAATAATTAATTTTAATTGGATCAGGTCAGCATGGGATCCATAGGCACTGTCCATTCAGGTAACCTCCACCCGACTGAATGGCACCCAAAACATGTCGTGTTCAGACAGGCAGGTGATTATTTCCCTTTTTCCTATTGTTAGTAAGCAGATATGTGAACAGTGGCTGCATTTGCCCTGTGGGGAGCGAATAGTCACCTGTTAGTATTTAGTGTAACGAACCATCCAAACAGATCTGGATGCTCAATAGCTAACACCCTTTTTGTAAAGGGTCTTTCAGCTCATCGACATCCCTATAGTGCCCAGCACAGAGTAACGTCTGCAATATTATTTAGTGTACTGGGAACATAAAGAACTTGTTCATGGGTCTTAGAGGAGGAAATCTGGTCTCCCTTTGAAAATTCCAGCCGTATTAATCCCTCCTTTGGAGCTTGCTTTAAAGGGCTGCCTCTGTGGTGGAGAAGCGCTGAAGCTGAACAGCAGACCACCTCTATGCAGTGTGCTTTGTGCAAAGGTTTAGGAGTAGGTACTGGGTTTGGAGGAAATAACCCAGGCTGGAAAACACAATGCACTCCTATTGGGTTTGTGTGTGTGTGTCTGTACCGCCACCTTCTGCTGTGATCCAGACTGCCAGGTGTCCCAGGCCCAGTTGTACTAACAGTGAATGCAGCTCTTTAAACTGCCAGTGGTACGAGCCTGTGTTTTAGAGTATGAGTAGGAGAGTTGTGTCTAGATGATCATCACTTCCAGGCTAGGGACAGACCTTGCACATAAACCGGTTTAAGTGATGAGAAACTAGTTTACACTTGTAACAGAACAGAAGTTCAGTGCACTTGAACCAGTTTCAAAATGGCTGAAACGGGTGTAAGATAAACCTGGTTGAGTGTAGTATCAGACGTTATTGATTTGGGTCAAACCAGTTTATGCAATTTTTATCTGAGATCCCTTCCTCATTTAAGTTAAACCAGAGTCCCCCAGCATCCCAGGATGCTTTTCAGCCCTGGGCTGAGCTGTGCTGTCTGCTCCAGAGAGCAGGGCTGGCCCCACCCCTCTGCTGTGTAGCTGGAACAAGGGCAGGGGCATGGCCTGATGCTGGCCCGGTATGGCCTCCTGAGGCAAAGGGGACAGGGAGGGGACTTATTCCCCCCTCCTTCCCCTCTCCTACTTG